TATGAAAGATATATAATTGGTACTAGTTAGCTTGCTAAGCTGAAGTATTTTCATAGTATGTAATTCTGTACAATATTGCATAGGAACGTTCACTGTATACGAAATTGCCAGTTTTATAAATTAGATCTTTATTGTAATGTGTTCAGGCTCATTGACATCTGCTCAGCATTTTCATCAGTAGTTTTATTAGAAATCTGAAGCTGGGAATTTCATACAGATTGGAAAGAAAATAAAAAGCTGTATCTCAAATTTCATCAATATAGAGTATAGTCAGAGATCAAACTTGGCCAAAATCCCCTTGTGAATCTCAAATGCTGGGACAGGAATGGTTACAGACATTAACAACATATACCAAATGAAATGTGAGTAATAGAGTAATTCATATGCGTTCTTATGACTGCGAATGACTAGAAGAATTGGGTTCATCGACTCGTGGAGACCCGCGAAACCATGACGTGATGTTTTTAGTCTAAAATGAGGCTACAACAAGAGAAGGTTAAACGGTAACTGCTCGAGTTCCTAAGAATTTGCTATGATTAGAAGTAAAACTCAATTGACTACTTTTATAAGTCTTTGAAGGTAAGAGTGCATAGTATTTCGGACTAGTAAAACTACATTTGCACTGAAAAAAAGTTCTAAAAAAGCTAAGAAACCTGAAAACCTCAAAGTTACAATAAGCTATAGGTCAATTCACCTTTGAATCATCAACCATATCCTCTGTAGCTTCCTTTCCTTCCTCATTTGTAGGGCTGCCCTTCAGCCAACTTGATAAACTTTGCCGAACTTTATTCCCCGTCTCACCTTAACCCATAAGATTTGATCTCAGGTGATTTAAATCAGATCATTCTGTAGTTAGAATTCACTTACCGATATTTTTTCCTGTAGTTGTAATGGCACTCAGGGCTCTGCGTGCCCCTTCAGATCCTCCTACTGAATGCTCAACTCGTAATAAGACATCATAAACACCCAGCTGCCCAGCAAATGCATGCCTATGACGGAAAAATTTGCAAACAAGGAAAAAACGAAAGTCCCATAAGCAAAAAATGTTACTGTAACTTACCCAGGTACTACACCAGCCAAGTCCTCATGAGGACCGGCCATCCATATTCGATAATTCCTAGAATCAAGTGTTACAGTTACATTACCAACAGATGAACCTTGCGCACCTTGTACTCCTCCAACTGTGAATAAATGCAGTTCCATAGTCATTAACAGCGACAGCTAGGTCAGATCGAGCACTAGCACCCATTGAGAGTAGATATTCACGCATTTGTAATCGTAGCCATTCGTCGCTACCTTCGAACACTGAAAAAAGGTAAACTGCAATGTTGTAAGCTATGTGAGACAGCGTTACTCACGGGCGGTGGATCTTCTGTTGTCCTCGACATTTTTCATGATATAATCGCCAAATCGAAGATCAGCAGAAGTGAGGTTAAGTTCTCTTTTGAGATTCGGGTCTAGTAAGGTTACTTGACCGGATCCTTGATCGTCAATCTGCAAGATCTAATCATCGTGGCTTTCATGCAACTACGAGTTTAAAATCAGTCAGGGAAAGAAGAAAGCAGGCAAAAGTGGGGAGAAGGTTAAATTATTTAATTCAGTAAGTTAATTGAAGAATTTATAATTTTGAGACCGGAAAACTAAGAATACCGTCAGAGCTTACAGTAACTATTGCGTCAAGCAGATCCTTCTTCGTGACAAAGAGAGCGTTCGTAGCTCCGATTGCATAAGCACGAACAGCTTTTGATCTAATCATGTCTAGATATGATATGGAGAGATATGGATGGAAGAGATAACCCTACAAAGCAATTTTTAATTCCTAACGAAACTGTCAAAAGCCATT